TAAAAATCCTGGAAATGTTTTTTTTTTTTTTTTTTTTTTTTAGGAAACCAATATCTTTTTTAAAAATCCTATTAAAAATGATAGTTTGGACCTTCAGCAACAAGTACTTGTGGGAAAATGTATTTCATCAGAAAAATTCTTCTTGTTTGGCATGAGTTAAAGCATAGCAATTTATTACCCTTTTTAAATCATGTACCCAATCTGTATTCAGAGAAGAACTTTGGTGATGCACAGTTTAGGTCATGGTAGACAAGACACTGTCTCACCTCAGTTTTTCTTTGATACATAGAATATGATGTCCGAAGGACTACTGTATAATAAATGGTAAACATTTTTCTGTAGGACAGCCGTATCTCAGGCGTACAGGAATCGCTAATAATTAGTGCCGGTAAATCATTGTAGCGCAAACCACAAACGTTATCATTCAGTTTGTAATTTACCCCTGACGTGGGTACTTGTTCTTCTTAATATGTCTGTTTATAGAAAAGTTGATTGAGATAATTAGCAGTAAAAATGCTAAGGTAACATGGCTATGGTAACATTTACATTGCTATCAATTTTGTTTATAGCAGCCTAAAGAGCGATACTGAAATTAGAAATTAACTACAATTAGCAAATAAATTGAGTGTCTCTTGGAATTACTTGATCATGTCTTAAAACGTTGCACAGTGTGACGCGCACGGAGGCAGAGCCGGGTCCCCGGGCTGTAGCAGCTGCGCGGAGTCGAGGAGCGCGCAGGGCAGAAGCCGGTTTGCTTCTCTGCGGTTGCCGCTGATCAGCTGGAGCTACTTCTGTGCCCAGCCCAGGGCGCCCTTCGAGATGTCTCTGCCTTACCTTCAGCGCAGCCTGGGCTGGGCACCAAACCTCCATACAGGCTCGATGAGTCCACGCTCTGATGCCAGAAACAAAGTTTACTGTTGGGGATTTGCCTCTCCATGGGGGAAAAGAAGGCTGAGCGTGCTTTTCAGTGATGTGCACCCTTGTAGGGAGTGGCTCAGAGAGACCGTGCAACTTCCACGTTGTCAGTAAATGAACCTTGAAACACACAGTTAACGTTGGCAGCCCAGTGTCAGAGGAATTACTTGGGTTGGAAATGTGGTGTTAACCCAGAAGATGAATCATAGGTATGGAAGCTGGTTTCCTCCGATTACCTGAAATGTGTCAATTTGGAGGGACTTGGGCATCATTTTATGCTCACAGGTTGAAATAGTCTGCTTCCCGTAGTAAGGCACTTTAAGAACTCTGATTGATAAATGCTATATAGATGCATGCAGTTATTTTTCTGGCATAATTTCGTAGTTAGATGTGGAAAGAAATGGGTTGTTTGCTGCTGTTAAAATGGGTCATTAAATACAGTTTTGAGGATGAAAAGAGGAGGAGAATCAACCAGTTTTGGGGGCAGCCACTGACTCACCTCTCTCTTATGTTCCATGCAGTAAAACTTGCCTCGTTCTTTTATCCTTCGTTGTATTTCAGAGACTTCTTGCAGTTAGAGGCAGACAGGCAATGGTTTTCTGCATCACGTGTGTCTTTCAGTTCTGTGTCCAGCAGGGAGAAGGTGCTGCTAAACCTCCCCATCCTCGATTCAGACACAAGTCTTGAGTCTTCATCTAAATCTCACATGACTGCTCTTAGCTGCTGGGATCTTGGCTGGTTTCGGGTGCACGTGCTTGGTTGTACTACGGAAACTCTTCCATTTTGTGTAAGATTAAGTAATCGTTGGGCTGGAAAGGGAGAGGACAAGAGCTTCGCTCTGTACTTAACAGCACCCTGAAAGGGTGTGGGGATGCAGAGTCATGTCCGTGCTCCACTGAACAGCAACTAATCCTTATGAAGTGAAACAGGAGACCTTGTCTGGCCTGAAAAGAAATGACCCACAGTAGAGAAGCTATGGCATTTATCTGGGATATGGAGAAATAGTGACGCGGTGATGTACATCTGGTGATACACGACTATCTAATTGTCTCCTCGCCCCATACTCTGTAAGTCCAGTTCTCTTTCGCTGGGACTGGAAATCCCATCCTTATCCTGGGAAACATCCACCACTGGTACTAAAAGTTACATAATCCCAGAAAAAACAAGTCATCTGGGATGAATTAGCAAGTTAGAATCACAGAATCATTTAGGTTGGAAAAGACCTTTAAGATCATCAAGTCCAACCGTTAACCCAGCACTGCCAAGCCCACCACTAAACCATGTCCCTCAGCACCACATCTACGCGGCTTTTAAATCCCTCCAGGGACGGGGACTCAACCCCTGCCCTGGGCAGCCTGGGCCAGGGCCTGGCTTCACCTTTCGGTGAAGAAATTTTTCCTAATATCCCACCTAAACCTGCCCTGGCGCAGCTTGAGGCCGTTCCCTCTCGTCCCATCGCTTGTTCCTGGGGAGAAGAGACCGACCCCCCTGGCTCCAGCCTCCTTTCAGGCAGTTGCAGAGAGCGATGAGGGCTCCCCTCAGCCTCCTCTTCTCCAGGCTGAGCCCCCCCAGCTCCCCCAGCCGCTCCTCCCCAGCCTTGGGCTCCAGCCCCTGCCCCAGCCTCGCTGCCCTGCTCTGGCCACGCTCCAGCCCCTCCATGGCCGCCTTGGGGTGAGGGGCCCAGCGCTGAGCACAGCATTCGAGGGGCGGCCTCCCCAGAGCCGAGTACATCCTCATAGGAAGCAAAATTTCCTTGAATATTTCCTGGCTGTTTCCCTCCTTCCTTCCCCGTCTTCAGCAGATTTTGTCTCTTTAAAGAGCAAAATGGGGCCGAGGTGTAGGGGAAAGAAGTGACGGAGTGTAAATGGAATAAGTCTAGCCCGCCGCAGACGGGGCGGTCACGCCACGGTGCAGACTCAGGCAGGCTGCTGAGCACGGCAGACCCTGGCTGGCAGGGTGAGCGCTAGCTGGCCTGAGGCTGCTGCTGCCTGCTTTCGTTGTGTTTTCTTCAAAGCCAGGTGTCTGAGCTCCCTGTGGATTTCATCTGGGGAGAATTTATCGCTGATAAATAACTGTTTGTGTTGAATTTACAGATGAGCTAAACTGTTTCCTTTAACGTTGCAGTTTAGTACTTTTTTCTTTTCAGGTTTGCATGAGCACTGGCATTTGAAGGAAATAAATCTGTCGCTCAGATAATGTATTTGCCCTTGGTACCAAAATATATAAATAAAAATTACAAGGTCATTAGCCATATCAAGAGAAAGAAAAAAGTGCTGTGCATTAAATAGCTGACTTCCAGGATGGGCTGGGCAGATAGCAGTATGCTAAAGTGTACTGCTCATTTTCCCTTCTGATCATGAAAATCAATTAATTCCTTTCTTTTTAGTAGCACTTCCCCTGTGCACGGGAAACCCTCAGCGTATGTCAGTCCAAATTTACGAGCAGTGTGTTTTCCTGTGTGTTTCATTTATCAAATGCAAATTCCAGTGGCCAGTGATTTACTACAGAATTATTTGGAAAGTAGCAAATAAATATTACCTAACAAAGTATTTAAAAAAAAAAAAGGCAAACTGGAGGAGAAGATTTTAACTGCCACATCCCAAGCAATTTATCTTTGTCCCTGAGAAGGCAGGTTAGGTGGAGAACTGCCCCAGTATTGTTCTGGAGCGCATCTTGTCTGGAAATGAGCTTTTACGCTCAGTAAAAGGCAGCCTTGGGAAGCAATGGATTATGGCTTATATTTTAATATCTGTTATTTATTTCAGCTAGACTATAGTACTAGGTGTAGACCTGAGGGAACTGAAATGCATAAGCTTCATTCACCCTGCATCCTTGCTAATCTCGCTGACTCAGAGAGACAAGTCCTCTTTGTTTCCCACCAGGGAGTTCAGACAATAAATAATCAACAGGAAGAAATGGCAGGGCATGGGTACGGCGGCGTCTGGGGAGGCTGGGTGATACAGTCTCCACTCAGCCCCTTCTATCCATCTTCATCCACTCATTTTTTGCTCCTTATGTGACCAGGCTGCAGGTAAAGGTATCCAGAACAGTTGCACCAGAGGTTTCTCCGTTCCTCTCTGCCTGGTGGGTAAGCGGCTGAGAGGCTGTAGGAGCCCCGGGCGAGAAGTGCATGTGCAGTGCTCACATCCACGGCCGAGGGTGGCAGTGGTCTCTGTTGCTAAATAAACACACGTTTTGGTTAACGGCCAGATTTACCAAGGCATCCTGTGCTAAGATTTGTGTCTTATTCTCGGCTAAAATGTCCCTGGGGCGTCCTGCACGAGGTAAGTTGGTGTGTGTTTGTGGCTGAAGGCAGGGCAAAGCGTGTTTGTGCAGGGAGAACTGCTGCGCTGAAGTCAGTGAAGCCTGCAGGGGCTAGATTAGAAAAAGAAAAGAACAATTGACTGAGTCACAATCAAAGTCTACGTTTCCATAATGAGAAAATAATTGTGTTTCCATGCCTTTTTTTCTGTTGGTATTGTGCACGTGGGTAATTTGTTTCCTTTTCTTTCCCAAAGGTAATGTTCAAATCCTCACATAAAAGGCTCTGGTGTGGCATAGGTCATCTGAGATGCTTACTTGTGCTAAACATGTATCAGATTTTTCTGGCAGTTGCATTTAAGCTATTAAAAGTTTTTTAGTTGATTTGGAGAGCTGATAGAGCAACTCCCCACGTATACAGCACCAAACACAGCCAGTTGATACAATGGATTTTTGTTGAAGTTTCAGCAACAAACACTAGGTTGAATTAGTCCCTATGATAGAGGTTACCACCTTATTTGTCTTCTGCCTAATTGTTCCAAGAACAGTGACATTATGGGGAAGGACGTGGATATTTCTGGCACCTAAACGTAGGTACCTAACAGCCAGCTGCATCCGCCTTGGACTCATCTAGAGTCGATGTGAAGAGAGAGGGGTTCACCCCCAGCACAGGTGAATCGGGCAGTCGTTCTGAATCGTTGGATAGTGCCCACCTCCACCTGGGGAACACTCTACATACAGCATCTGAAAAGAAGCAGTTGTATCGCCTTAAAACGGGAAAAAAAAGAAAAATCATGTAATTGTTTTTCCTCCAACTCTCCCAGGTCTGGCAGTGCGGAGGAAGCATGGAGGTCTTACCCTGTTCTCGCGTGGCACACATTGAACGCACAAAGAAACCCTACAACAACGACATCGATTACTATGCAAAGCGCAACGCCCTGCGGGCCGCTGAGGTCTGGATGGATGACTTCAAGTCGCATGTTTACATGGCGTGGAACATCCCCATGGCTGTAAGTACGGGTCACGCTCTCTCCTGAACAGAAACGCTCCTCGTTAGCTCTTTGAGGTGAAGGGTATTACTACAATTGTATGAAGTGGGCTAAGCTTGGGGCAAGAGTGCTTTCATGCTGGTGCATGCTCAATACGGAGAGTTCTGCCATATAAACTTGCTTCCTCAGTGTAAGTTTTGGTATGCGCTCAGGAGCGGTGACACAGATTTATAATTTAACTAGAGCACAATGTTTCAGGTTTATGCATTTCCTCAGAAGAAGTTATTAATTTGGGATGCCATTAAACTTCGAGGTGTTCATACGCTACAGTGGTGAGGACTACAGAAATGCCCATAAATAAATATCATCATTCATCATGAGACTCGGTAGACCTCACCAGCATAAAAACAAAGTACGCGATAAAAGAATCGCACATTAACTAGCTTTATTGTCTACAGGCTGAGAGTTGCAATGTGGACACATTCTGTTTCTTACTGTGCATACGAATTGTAGATGGCATGTGGGGACCTCTAGGAATCCACGTAATATAAATATTCGATAAACTGTAGGTTCAATTTATCACTTTATTCTGCAAGTGTATCACATGCTACATCTCCACTGAGCATAATTCTTCGAGAGAAGAGGTATGTGTTATATCCCAGTCAGGTGGAAGCTGACTGCTGCCGTATCCTTTAGTAGTATTTGCATCCGAAATATTCATGTGAAGGGGCAGAGGGAGAGCCGCTGAGGGGAAGCATACTCCGTTCTGTAGGTAATGGTGGTTTGGTTAACCCTTATATGAGGGGTTTGTTCAAAGCTGATTGAAGTAAATGGAAACAGGAGTGTTCCTATCAGAACAGGAAAATATATAATGCCAACCCAGCAGCGTCTTTGTGAATATTCAGTTACGACCTAGAGTCCATCAAAGTCACGGGAGTCTTGTCAAAGACTTCAGCGGATTTAGTCTGTGTCCTACTTGTACTTTGGTACCTAGGTAATATTTCCAAACCCATCTTTGTTCATTCCTGTTGTAGTTTTGAAAATGCATGTACCTAAAGGAGCAATGTTTCATTCCTCTCCATGTGATGTCTGAAAATGTCAGATGTTTGCACATGTCCAAATTTCACTTCCTGCGGTTCAGTACTGGACGTTCTGTGCAATGTTAAAAGTTAGGTCTTTATGATGTGTTTTGGTGACTTCTTTTGGCATGAGAGGTAATTGCAGGGAATTATTTTGCCTTAACAAGGCAGTACTGCATAACTTCTTTCCCACACAAGATTTCCGTGACAGTAGGAGGAAGACAAAGCAGCATCCATCTAAATTTTTAGAGGCATTTTGACCCCATCTGCATCCATTTGATAAAATGTTGAGTTTCAAATAGGAGAGGAAAAAGAAGTAACCTCGGTAAATTTGTTTGCTTGATGCCTTCTGCAAATGAGTTCTGAGAAAAGACAAGACATTTAAATAAGCATTTACACCAAAACATGATTTTCTTTAATCTCTCTGAGATTACTTATTGATGTAGTTTTCTGCACTGAGCTATACAGCAGTGCTTTAAAAGAAAAAAAAAAAAAAGGGCACATCTACATTAAGAGACATAAAATCAGCATAAGTACTGAACATTAAAATTTTCTTTCCGTAAAATAAATTGATTGACAAAATGTGTACCATAAAAATAACCCCATTAGCTCTCAGGAAAAGGAAGCTAGTGTTAGCGTTCCCAGAGTTATTCCACTGTAGTGTTCAATCTAGATGAGTAACAAGTCCTGTACTGTTATAAGCCATAAGAAAACACTTCTGCGGGAGAACTAGAAACCTTACTGCCTGGTTAAAAAGTATACGTCCACATACTAAATTCCGTGGGCAGCTCATTCTTGTACCGTCACAGTGTAACCCGCACACGGTGACTGCGGGTAATACGGAAGTAAGCACAGCATCTTCACAGCTGCTCTTGTGGAAGTGGCACTGCAAGCGGGGCGTTGTGTCGCCTCGTTTGAGAATAGGGAAGAAAGGAGGCAAGTAAAATACGTGTGTTCTCCCATACCAAAACCCATCCAAATTAACCCTTTCATAACTCACGCCATCTTTTTCACAACTTGCTCCTTTCCAATGTATCGAGGACCTGTGCATAGCGTGTCTCCTGATTAGTGGATGATCTTTGGACACGTTTGCAAGATCATATTCCTATAACCTTCATCAGCAGGTCAGCATAGCTTTATTTTAGCTAACCAAATATTTGGTATGCCCCTGCTTATGATCTATTCCTGGACAGTTTTAGTGATAAAGGAATCTTATATTGAATGATTTATTGCACCGAGTGCCTCCAGGAATTGCTCTCCTTCCACGCAGCCTGAAGTAGTACATAAATTAACATTCATTTGAATGGATGCTGCATAGAGAGCGCGTGACAAAGTATGCATCAGCAAGCAGAAGTGAGCACAGTAAACTCTTTATGTGGCAAACAGAAAAACCTGTTCAGTATCACACTCGTATTCTCTCCTGAAAGCTAGGCATCTGCTGGGGATTCTAAGAAACCCTGAGAGATTCGCTGCTGTCTTGTAGCCCTGCATTAGACATCATTTGTAAAACGTACGGAAATCTTTCTGGAGGAGGTGTACAAGGCACTTGAGACAGGTCCACACAAACTCCCCACTTTCAGTCCACTTGATTCATACAGTGTCGGAAAAGACTTTTAAATGAGGTAACTCATTGGCTTAATCTTGACCTGTGATGATTTATAATGGTTTAAATCAACAGACACTAACTCAGGACCTGGCAGTTTTTAAACAGCTGGTTTTGAACATATTGATTTGACTCTTCCAGCCTGTGTTTTCCATGGGATTTGTATTCAAACATGAATTAAATTTTGAAGTAGAATTATAAAGAAGTTTTTGAGTTTAACTGCATTTTCTGGCTCAAGTCTGCAAATGAGCTCCAGTTCCAGTAAAAACTGAATGCTGGTCTATGCAAACGTTTAATGGAGCTTAATGACTTTTTGAGCAGCTCTGCTTTGAAGTTTTAACAGATCTGTTCTGATCTCATTTACATTAGTGAACACCTAGGGCTGTTACTAGTGTAAACCACGATCAAGCTGCCATACCTTAGATCAGAATTACTGCCTAAATTCCTAGCAAATCTGAAAGCAAGAGAGTCGAGGTTTGATTGTAAACATTTAGAATTGCTGTAAGTAACAACATTCTTATTGTATTCTTATTATTTTGATTTATGTTTGTTTTTTGCTTGTTCGTTACCCTTCTTTTTCCACCGACTTTCATTAATATTTATTGTCTGCTCTCCACAGCAGCTGTTTGATGAGCTGCTACTTACAAAAGAGAAAGAAGAGAGGGAAATACAGCTTGGTATACAAAATGAACTCCAATTTGGTTTCAATAAAGAAACCAACAGTAAAGTCAATGCAGTGAGATTTCTTTCTTCTTCTGCTGCTTTGTAGAACCCAGGAGTTGACTTTGGAGATGTTTCCGAAAGAATAGCTCTACGACAGCGACTGCAGTGCCGGAGCTTTAAGTGGTACTTGGAGAACGTCTATCCTGAAATGAGGGTTTATAATAATACAGTCACTTATGGAGAGGTACTGTCTGTCTTTGAAAATACATTGTGGCTGCATTAGAGCAGTCCTTTCATCTTAGTGGCAGTATCGGGACGTACAGAGCAGTTTCACGTCAGCCCAGTAGTAGCAACAGAAATGCCCTCCCCTGCTTCTAATCAACACTAGGAAGTGTGGCTTTGAGAAGCACCGGCCCTCTCCTCGGACTATATCAGATGAGATCATTCTCACTAACGATGACACACAACCTCCTTGGCTTTCATTTTAAAATAGAGCAGCTCTGAGAACATAAATTTAAGGTAATAATTTTCCCAAATAGGATGCCACAGACATCATCAAGGGAACATCAGCAGTCAAGAGAGCTAAAATAATTACAGTTAATGGGAACAGTTAAGTTTGCTGAATTGTTTTTAGGTAAACAACCACCCCTTTTTTGTGTTTTGCCAAACTATTTGAAGGATTACATTCACTTTATTAGTTCATTTTTGCAATTCTCCTTGTTCAGGATAAAAAGCGACATATCCATGTTCGGATTATGAGGTGAGGCTACCATTTGGCTGGTCTTTATCTCGTCATTAAAAAGTCATCAGAGGAAAAACAATGTTGCTGCTTTGTGTTCAAATTGTGTGTTTTCATTTCCACTTGTGTACAGTATTGAGTAAGACCTTGGAACACCCACTCTGAGATAGCTGAGTGGATAGGCTACTTAACCCTAACAAAATGCTGGATCCCAACGTGTTAGAAATGTGGAGACGTTCCGGCTCGCCTCAGCTGTCTGGAGCATTCCTTTCTTCTCTGTGACCCAGTGAAATCTCCCACATATGCTTGACCCCGCTCTTTAAAGAAGTCAGGCATGCCTTCTGTAACTCTTTATATCGCGGGCCTGTAATGTAAGGACTGCTATCACTTGTGAACTGGGGTGAATTTCTAGGAGCTCTCGTGCTGCATAATGTTTTTAAGATTCTGTTTTAATCGTCCACATGAACTACAATTAAATCCAAAGGCAATATATTTTCACACAAGACAACTAAATGGACATTCTTCCTTTCTGTTCCATTTGATTGACTTCATATAAAAATAAGTCAGGCACTTCAGATATTGATACAAAGTGCAAGTTTTATTGCATAATATCACTTTGCATCCTAATATAACTATCCCTGGCAGTAACTGAGGGAAGACATTTAGTAAATTCAACAGGAGCTATTAGTAACTGTCAGCTCTGAGGAGGCTGTTAACGGCAAAGAACATCGGCAGTACTGCCAATGTTGTGTCAATTCTACCAGCCGGTTAGCAAGCTGGGCCCTAAAAAGAACTTTGTCTCTGTTGAGTGGTCGCATGAAGGTGCTCGAGTCAAACAGGAAGCTTAGTGATGCAAGTATGTAATTCATTAAAATTTATAATAAAATGGAGCCACACAAACTATTTCGCTAGTATGAACTGGCATAGTTCCCTTTCAGTCTTACATGCCCATAATGAAAAAAACTAGAGGCTTCATCCTAAATGACATCAAGCTTGTTATGAAATACCTTCTCTTCTGGTTATTTTCCTGGAGATGTCGTCTGGATTTTAGTGAGTTTAAAGGAAAATAGATGTATTGAGTAGAAGTGAAACAGACAGAAACAGTAGTAAAAATATATTTCCTGGTGACTCAATTCACAATTTTTAAAGCCGTGTCATATAGCTGTCTTCATCATCTTTAGCCTTTATAGTACTCGAGTCATAAAATAAACCTCCTGAAATTTAGCTGTTGGTGAGCCCCCTTATCCGATCCCTGTTATGCTCGTTCACTATACTATGAAGGATTATTTACCCGTTTTCCTGACACCTCATGCAGCAGCTATTTCTATATTAGGTGGGTTGGCCAGACAAATTGTTCACAGCCTAAACCACAACTGACCTGTTGACTGTTTCAAAATGTCCATCTAAATACCCTCTTGATTGAGATACCTTTAAAATTTTCCTATGTCCAAAATATGTGTGTAACACTTCTGGCCTGAAGAGAAAGAAAGGCCTGGAATTTCACAAGAGCTCCAGCCCAGTTTTATAGACTTGTAAACTTTCTTTCTCTGGGGAGGCACGTGAATTTTTGACTTGGTTGGTTCTCTGAACCCGAACTTTAAATATATTGAAAGCCTTCCAAGGCCGGTCATCATTGCTGTATCCTTCCACAATAATGTGCTTTACAGCACTTCTGTACATAACCGTATACTATATTCTCAATTCAAATAGAATTGTTTCATATGCTTTTTTGGTTTTATACGTGCAGAAGGAGCAAATAAAAGGGTGCCACATCCCCTACCAATCCTGGGTAGTTCCTATGCTGTTTCATTTAAGTCACATTCTCAACATATATGGTCAAAATGTATATTTACGCAAGGGTAATTTGGAGCAAAATTTGGCCTGCGTTTCTTAAAGTGAATTTTATGAGGTTTTGATCCTTGAGTAATTGCTGAAAATATAACTCTGACGGTCTGTAAAGACAGCAGGTTGTCCAAATAATGTCTTTTCCTGGAGCAAATTCCCTATTGGCATCCTGTCATATCTGGAGAATAAGCATGTTTTTCTCAGAGAAGAATAGTTTTACATACTAGTTGTTTCAATAGCTGTAGGGCAGCTAAGATTTAGCTGGATTGGACTTGCATTGTACAGATTAATTTCTAATACAACTGTTTTCTTTCTGATCCGGTTATAGGTGCGTAACAGCAAAGCTAGTGGCTACTGCTTAGATCAGGGAGCCGAAGAGGATGATAAAGCAATCCTTTATCCATGCCATGGAATGTCCTCTCAGGTAAACGGCTAAAATCCCATAATTAATGAGAAACCTTTAACTTAAAGCATTTTCAGAAGAAACGTAAAGTAATTTGGTGCATTTGATTTGAGTTTGGCAGTATATTCCTGAGTTGCAAAGGGAAATATCTGGCTTTATTCCAGTCTTTTTGGGTGCCCTTTCCAAGGTTGTTCAGCATGTGAATCTATACACTGAAGATGCCAGTAAGGAAAACAGAAGAATCATGATAATAACAGAGCAACCCACTGAAGATTAATGAATTTAGACAGTTTGTTTGAGTGAGTCCTCTTCCCATTTTGACTTTAGTTATTCTAGGAACAGCACCTCTTTAAACGAGCTGTTCATTGGTCCAATAGGCTCCTATGCAGAAATGATTTAGCAAGCTGCTGATTTGATACCCCAAGTAGGCAAAATGTTAAGCACATACTTAACATCAACTTCAAAGGGAATTAAGAATATCTTTTAATACCTTTCTAAAAGAGAAGATTCCTTTTTTGTCAGTCCCTGCGCATATTATTATTTTCTTACAGATGTCTGGAGATTTTTAAATGACATTTCTTCTTTCCATGCTCATAGTGACGTTACTTGTTTTTTAAATACAAGCTGGATATTATTTAAATGCAGGACTTGAGCTTCTTCTGAAATATAATTCTAGTTTCTTTTGAAGTACCATCTGAATCAAAACTATGTTAATGGACGTTGTCACGCATAAATAAACTCTGACCTTATCACGGACTTAATAATTATCTGAAGTTCAGTCATACATACATTGATTTGGAGTCCTGGCTCGTACATCACTGTGGATGCATAACAAGAGTCGCAAAATATAAATATCACCTATTGTGCTTAATTGCAAGCTGGTGAGGAGTCGTATCTCATTAGAGCCAAGCGAGATA